TTTATCGGAGCAGGAGCTCCGGTGACACGATTTCGTGGAAGTGCAGGGGAAAGTCCGAGGAAAGATGAGAAAATGAGGTTCCTCCGACTGTGAAATGGATCTCCTGTAGGAAAACAATGTTCCTACTTCTAGCTGGGCAGATGGGAAAAGATTCGAGTGAACGGAAGTTCACTTGTTTTGGGGGGGGCGACGCTTGGGACCGGCGAGGGCGGCCTTCTTTTGGTGCGCAAAGGTCCACCAGACCAAGGGAGGGGCCCCACCTCGATGGCTTTCAGCGGCATGGGCTGGCCTTGGTGGTTGGCATCCACTGATCGAGGAATGTGATGGAATCTGGGAGCTCTTTGTGGTCGATCACGGAAAGCATCCACGTGACCATGTGACAGGTACGAGTAGGTCCAAGGAGCCAGCTTGAAAACAGATATACAAATACATACTATAGTAGATTGGAAACAACACCACAGAGGCAGGTCCGAGGAGCAGGGGGCTTTGGAATCACTGCGTTCAGGCATGGTTTTCAGCACCATCGGTTCTGGGCCGCTTCAGTTTAAAAGCATCTTGCATGACGCACAACACCAGCTCCACGTCGTCATGCTCCATGGCCAACTGAACAGGCGTCCGGCCATCTTTCGCAGCCACGTGACAGGAGGCTCGAGACGTCAAGAGGAAGCACATGAGCTCTGTGTGACCATTTAGGGAGGCCAACTGCAAGGGAGTCATGTCACCGTCTGTGGTCGTTCGATTCAGAGAGGCTCGAGCATCTACTAATAATCGCACCGACTCCAGGTTGCCATTCCTAGCTGCAAAATGCAGGGAAGTTGAGCCATCGTCCGTTGTTGACAAGTCGCAAGAAGCCCGGGCTTCTACTAATAAGCGCACAACCTCTGGGTGGCCCTTCTCAGCTGCCCAGTGCAAAGGTGAAGCTCCGCGGCCTGAAGTGACTTGGTCGCACGAGACCTTGGTTTGTAGCAGCAGCCGTGTCACTTCGGTATAACCCCCTATCGATGCGCAATGCAACGGAGATATGCCACCGTGCGCGGTATTGCAGCAAGCCTGGGCTTCCAACAAGGTACGCACGACTTCAAGATGGCCATGCTCTGCTGCAGTATGCAAAGCACTCCATCCATCGTCCAGTGTGTTCGGATCTTGTGGTCGTTGCAGGCATCGCTCCACTTCTTCCAAACAGCCCTCCTGACATGCCAGGATGAATAGCTCGTCCTGCTCCTCGTCAGGAGGCAAACAGCTCAACACCACGAGTTTCAACTCCAGAGGTACCGCCAGCAGCTCCTGATCATGCATCTCCACACAGTCCTGCTGGCGTACAAGCCGCAGCCGGAATCGAGAGGTGCTAAGCCGGCACTGGAGTTCCAGCTTGAGCGCTTTTACCGTACGTCCTCCAGTCTCCTGCAACGCCTGGAACGCCGATGTGTCGAATCTGGCCACTTCTTCTCCAGAGGCCGCCCACCGCACCACAAGCGCCATGGAGCATATGGCAGGATCATGTGGACTGGAGATCTATCATCTATGGCAGTATCACGTATCCCATCAGCTGTCTCTACACACGTCTGTTCTGGTGAAATCAGGTTCACACAATTTCACCTGGATCAGATGTTTAGTGGAGAATGGTGTTCCTTATGCTTCACGACTGGGTTTCACTGGAACACCCCCTGTTTACATAGATCCTGCCCGAGTACCGGTGGCCGTTGGTTTTAGAGTTCGATTGCAGCTGCTATCTTCTCACAGATTGGGGCGCTAGGGGTCTGAGTTGGGTGAGGGAAGTCACTCAAGTGTTGCTAGTGTTTTTCTTCCTGTTGCAAAGTTGAACAAATGTTGATTATTGAATCTGTGAACGATGAAAATGGGCACAAGAGGAAGTCCGTCAAACATCAAAATATGTCGGTGAAAAAAAGGCAAGAGTCTTAAGAGGTGTCTTTTCAATTAATGGCATTCCTATTCAACCGAGATGATAGGCTATTGAGATGAGAAGTCCTCCAAAAATGAAGATAATTCATCATGAGTTCATATAAAAATGAAGAAGGACCCTGGAATAATAGACAAGCGAAAGCTTTACTCAGAACACACGTAGCCTCTTCCAGAATCTTCTAACTTGCGCAGCTTACCATCTTACCAAAGACACGGCGCTGTGGATTGAAGGGTGCCACTGTGGTCTTCAGCTACTTTCCAGAACCACTTATGGTAGCTAGGATTCTTCTTGTCGGCTTCTTCACGGAAACCTTCAGGACCACCCAGTCTATTTCTGGAGTACCGGCTAGGTCCTCTGCCACAGACCACACAAGACAGACCTGTCCAAGTGCCCACACTCGAGTTCAGCAGCAGAGATGCAGCACCTCACCAATGAACGATATTTCGGTCCCGACGTTCCGCGTTTGGAACGAGCCTCCCATCACTGGGACTCTTCAACTTCTGGACACCCCTCGGCGATCTTCACACTTTCAGATCAAAGCACTATTCCAGCTGTGGTCACTGACAGTACATGAGAATGATGGAGGCATAAACATCGGTTGGGATCACCTTAAATCACTATGTCCATCTTAGGGGTGTAAATCGCTTCGTGACCAACCCTGCCAAAATGTGCCAATATGTCTTGTCTGATCAAAGAAGTTTGAGCTCGACTTGTCTTCCTTTGGTGGGATCGAAGTTGTTTCCACAAATTGTTGGCAAGTTTTTTTTCAACTTGTATCCTCACAAGTTGCTTGAACACCAAAGGCCTCTTTTTTCACGCCTTCAAAAGTACATTGCCAAGAATAGGTGATCTGGAGATCGTCTCAACAAAATGCATACCCAGTTGGCTAGATTAGTTAGAATATGAAACAAACCTGACAGTTCAGGAGCCACCTTCACAAAACCTTAGGTCTATAATATATGAACCTTGATCCTTCTCAACCAACACACATCGCAAGGTACCTACTTAAGGAGCCAGACGTCTTCCCTCCTTGTACTGCGTGTTGGTGATGTAGCTTACAAATTTGACAAGCCCAAACAGGATGAACTAACCACAGAGAAGAGAAGAAACATCGATCAGCAGGTTTACTAGCAAGTCCAGTTCTACCTACTTCTCAATTCAATTGGCATCTACTGCACTTGAATGTCACCAAGCTAACCAACAAAGCAAAGCTAAACAATCGAAAAGGTTCACCCCAAAACGGAACGATGCCGCCCCACCGTGAGCCGCGCCCTCTACCCGAGTTGGGCGTCCAAACCGGAGTCCAAGAGCTGCGCCACGTTCATCTGCGCCACCTGCGTCCGCGAGCGCCGCAAGTTCGGGCCATCAAGTCGCCACCTGAGGCGATGCCTTTGATGTAGGTCTTCTCCGCCCCCAGCAGACGGAGTAGATTGGTCCAAAGTGCCGGTGGATGGTTCAAAGTGCCGATGTGGGGGCACTTAGGACTGGGGGAATTTAGGGCTTCTCCCTGCTCTGGAGTTACTGTATCTCTACCAACAGATGACCATCATTCAGGACCTACTGTATCTCTACCAACAGATGACCATCATTCAAAACTGCTCACTCTACGGGGAAGGCATCCACATATCGATAAGGATCAAGAGGAGCTTTTTCGCCATGGACACTACTGAAGGAGATGCTAGCTGCTAGGTCTTTATCGCTCTGTGGATGACCATTGGATTTGGATTCTCTGTTGCAATGGGGCAGTAAGAATCACGTCTCGTCAGTGACAACAAGGTTCCACATTGCGTCAAAACCAATCTATGTACAAAAAATGTTCCCACTCATAGGCAGAATGCACAGCCAAACTTGTCGTCGATGGTTGGCCTAGCACTTTTCAGGTTCCCAGTTGTGTCTCGCTCATACCTAATTAGGGGTCTTGAACACCGGCTCCCACTCAACCTTTGTTTCATCACGGTACCTGTGGTACATTGATTTTTTGCAGTTCCTGTTGGTCTACTTTGGACTCAAAAAAAACGAACTCCCTGACGAATCGACCACTGTCATCGACCAGTGCGCTAAAAGGACTCCGCGGACGTCGGCTCTTCGGTTCGCCGGCTCCCCCCGCCTCATGGCCGGCCTCCGCCAAGCTTAAGAACCTCCAGGCAGCAGCATCCGGGCCTGGGAAAAGATAGGAAGATCAGGAAAAAAACACGATCCAGTTGATCAGAGGTCCCTCTGAAGAACTAGATGTCTGATGATGTTTGCCTATCCAAGACTGATAAGATCTCGGATGGTTGGCTTCAAAATCGAGTGTGCGGACGAGGGTTCGTCTCTCCAACACCCAACCACCAGTGAACTCCCAAAAAGTTCCCCAAAAGGTACAAAGGGAGGGCACACCCTCGGTTTTCCCGCCGTGACGCAAGTCCCATCTTTTTGACGCACTGGCCAAAACTTGAGAGCTTGAAGTACTCCCGGTTCATCCAAAATTTAGGTTCAAGATCATCCATCCAATATCATCCAATGCATACATCACCTCCTTGAGATGATGTTCGGAAAACCATGTCTTTTTTCAAAACGTGGCTGTTGGATGGAATCCCACTGACCTGTCGATATGTCCCTCTCTCTCTCCCTCTTTGCCTTTTCTCCAAGTGGCGGTTCTGCTTGTGGAGCTCTTGTGCTTCTCGCAACCTCGGAATCACCAGAGCTCAGGGCAAGGCCGGTCCCACCCGTGCGGGAAATGCCGATCGCTTTGTCCACTGGCTACAGGGGGGGGTGTTGGTTCTGAAAAGAGGTCTGTATAATGGTATGGTCAGGGGAATATATAAATGCTGCATAATGCTTCGGTTTACATCAGTCTACCTGTGGATCATCCGTTTCCCAATGAAGCTTGACGGCGGCAACGGACGGAGGGCAGTTCCCCTAACTCCAAAAGTTTGAATGACTCTGATCATGCCTTTGTGCTGAAGGACATATAATTCTGCAGCATCTTGGATTCTTGGATAAGGAAATCCACAGGAAAATCCCTGTTTTGTTCTGGTTTGTGTTGGTACCAGGTGCTCGTCCATCCCACGCGCCATCGACGATCGAGCACTTCTTTTGTGCCCTTACTTCAGTTTCTTGGCAGTCGACTCTGCCCGTGCGGCCTTTCGCTTGGCCAGCGCCGCGAGGTGTCGCGGGTCGCTGTAGAGGAAGGGAAAAGCACCCAGGTTCACCAGCAGAACAGCTGGGCGATCGGCACCCACCAGAGGATAGAGGTCAAAGGACTCGCTCCTGGAGACAAGAAGACAACGTGAAGCCATCTGCAAACACCATCTGAGATGTCACCGAGTTGAGACCTGTTCGGTCCCCAACCCGTTTGGGCGAAACCTCTTGGAGGATCCTTGATGGACCCATCGTTTGGAAGATTTCGATCTTACGAGGCTCCATCCACACCAACTTAAACTAGTTGTGTTTATCTTTGGCGCATTCTTTTGAGTGGCCCTTTTTGTCTGTTACACCAGCTCCAAAGCTCCTGTCATCTGCCAAAGGCACCGTTCTCGCTTGGCGCCGTCCCTCCAAGGTCACAAAGAGCTGATACTCTTCATCCTCAGAAGACCATTCCACACCTCAGACGAAGCTCGGACCGCCTCGTCGGGTGTGTCGCTGCGCTTCATGGCTGCCGGTCTCGGTCCGGGCTCGGCTCGGGCTCGGCTTCATTCGAGGGTCCGCTGGGGCGATTGTCTCTAGACAAGTGTCCATGTAAGAAAAAGGTCCATCCACGTTGAGGACAGGCCGAAAGTCCATCCATGCAACTAGATCACTTAGTTCAGCCAACTCTGCCGATCTTTCAAGCTGGATTCAGCATGATTCAGCTGAGAGTCCCATCCCCACAGTGCTGCCTTTCTTGATGACCCAGCCTTGCAGCAAGCGTGTGGTCGCCGTATTCGCCTGCAGCAGCCCATCATCGCTGTGAAGGCCATAGGTGCCCTTCGTCCAGCCCGGCAGCGTGTGGAGGGGCGTGGAGGCTTGCCGTGCGAAGCCCAAAGCCACTAAGAGATCCAGCTCCTGCGAGGTGACGCACCGTGACGCGGCCCAGTGGGTGTCTGGCACGACGGGGCGTGCAAACCTGGACCGGAGGCCAGGCCCCTGAACTTGGAATGAAAAATCCTGGAGCTTTTTTCAATGCCAGAATCGGATCCTAGCTCTGTGGTGCATCTGATCCCTGCATGGTGGATGGATGACCAAAGGAATGAAATTGGAGATGTGATTGGAGAGAGGCACAGACATCGAACGAGACAGCGAGAAGGATTTGATCCAACACTCCTTAGTGGTTCCGAGATTGGGACCTTGAAGTTTTGCCATCAGGTGGGTTTGCTGTTAGTTTGATTTGTCAGCAATCATCGTCTCTCAATGCAAAAAATGGAACAAACCTTCAACCTTCAACCGCAAAAAGAGTGCACTCTGTTGGAAGCGAACCGACGTTCACCCCTTGCTTAGAATGCCCTCCAAATATTTCATATATAGGCCTGCCTGCTCTGACCGAACTTACCTTCGTCGTCGGTGTGGCTCCTCGACCAAGACTTCGTAGTAGAAGGAATCATGCGCCGCGCACATCCGCGCCGGCGTTGCGCTGCTCGCCGTCAAGTGGCTCGGCCCCGGAAAGCGCAGGCGATAGGAGCCATCCACCTCTTCCACCTAGGCGCAAACTGTGACGCCCAAAAAATGAGCCTGGAACTCCTGAAGCAATCAATCTGTCCCGCAACTTGCATCGATCCAAGCTCTTGAAAACAAGGCACCAAAAACTGTCCAGCCTCACAGTGAAAAAAAAGAAGACACAAGGAAAATCACGAAAAAACACCATCTTCCGGCATTTCCCTGCCTGAATCTGACCTTCCACTTCTTCACTGTCCGCTTGCCCCGGCACAAAGCCTTCCGGCAACAGCAGCGCTTCCTCCAGCGCGTCCGCGTCCGCGGGGCGCTTCGCATCGGGCGCCGCGCCGGCGCGGAGCAAGATCCGCTCCACATCGCTGTGACCGGCCTCTTGCGCCAAGGTCAGAGCCAGCTTCAAGTCCAGACCTGCAAGTCATGGCCGCAAGTCAGGTCAGGACTGCATGCATCCAATATGGGCTTTGGCAGTTTGGACATGGTTTGGCCAGGAAGTTGCACAACAGCGTGAATTTGCAACGGAGGAAAGACACCTCTAGTAGACTCTAGTGTAAATGATGAGCTTAAGGTTCGTCGAAAATCTGCACTTGGATGTGTATGTCTATGATCTATAAGTCTATAAGCGTATTTGGGCCACATACGCCAGACCGTCGACCGTGTTCTTCTTTGTCCCGAGCACACGGAACCCTCATGAACCCTTTCAACCTCTTCCCCACCTCCTTATCTCATGTATCCATATGACACACTAAACAAATCCAAACAGCCAACCTTACTGGGCCTGCCTTCGAACAATCCCACCCAGCGCCTCGGGGAGCCCCGTCGGCCGCCAGCAGGAGCTTCAGAACGCGCAGAAAGCCGAAGCGCGCCGCGCACTCCACTGGTGTCGTCAAGGCTTCTCGGTCTTTGCCGCCCGGACCATCGAAACCAAGGCCGCCTGAATTTCAGGGCATGGCAACTGAGGGTGTGTGCAGCTCAGATTGCTGATGTGTTCAGAAGACGCCACCCCGTCCACGAAAGCTCCAAAAAAGGACTTGCTATCAACAAAAAAGGACTTGATGTTCCAATACCTGTTCTTTGACCGTTTCGCTAAACCATGCCCAGTCATCCATGCAAGTCACAAGGACATCTTCCTTCCCGCCTGGCCGCGCTTTGGCTGCCAGCAGAGCCTTCACAGACGTCTCAGAGTTTTCTTGCGCCGCCAGGAACAGCGGGCCAATGCTGCCCACGTTGGGGTCTGCATGGGCCTGGCTGGGTCTGCCGGGCTGTATATAGCCGAGTGGTGAGCGGAGGTGTGGATACTTGAAGGACTCAATGACTGGAAGAGATCATAGCTTGGGGGATGTGGACACTACCAGAAGAGATCTGGAGAGACTGGTGTGACAAGTGTTCCAAACATGGGCTCCTTTGCCGAGTAGCTCATAGAGTATGGTGCTGCCTGAATCATGAATCATGGTGGACTTTTGCAAGGGCATCCTGTCCAAGGAAATCTATCTCAGTCAGCAGTCGACAATGGACCAGGAGACAGTGGGCATTTCTTCAGCAATACTCTCCCGAAACCAAATGCAGTAATATCACCTATATATAATATATATATATGGTACAAACACATGAGAAAGGTCATCTTTCCCAAGCTTGCATCCCAGTAGCTTGCCAGTTGAAGAGGCACTGTCAACCACTCTTTCTACTTCCACTCAGTGGCCTTTGTATTGACCTATTCCTAAGATAGAGCACTTGAGAGATCGAACGGACCCCACACTACACCAGCGGAACCTCTGAAACCTGTCAATTGCGAGGAGCTCAGGGGCAGGGTCAGGTGGAAAGGATCCACGGGACGAAAGGATACCACAAAATACATGTCAAATGGACTTGGATAGAAAGTCTCTTGGGTGGCCTTACTTACTCATCGGACCAAAAAATGTCGAGTCAAGCTGTTTCTCTATCCCCGATTCTTTCCGCGAAAGCAGTGCAATATCAGAGAATCAACGACTTGTGCAAGTGGTAAAAGCACCATTCTTCCATCAACACTGAGAAGCTCGTCCCCTCGCGCCTCCAACATCTAGAACTGTAGCAACCTGAATACCGATCTGAAATACGAATCTTCCCCCAATCTCGGCTACAATCACTATAGAGGTCCCTCTTGTTCCTTCGTTCATTTCATCTCCATCCGACCACCCACAACCCTCCTTCTCACCTTCTCACCTCGAGGAGCATCTGCACCAGCTTGCTTCCCCTGCTACCACCCAACTGCGCAGCCAGATCCAGCGCGCACGAGCCATCCTCCCCGGCATAAGCCGCATCCGCCCCGTGCCGCAGGAGGACCTACATGTGTGCAGATCCGTGCAGCTGGCACTCCCTAAGAATCATGGAACGCTGAAAGATGAAGGTTTTGCAGGTCCAAACCTTATACATCCTTATACTGTAAATGCTATGAAGGCCATGCCGACTCAAAACCCTTCATAGGAGGTTCCTAATTATGATTCCAACGATGAGAACCCCGACTTCCCATGGAGGTTTACGTGTCCATCAACCACCCCCCTTGCAGGTCACGACGGGGGAAGGCAATGGTCCGCATGTCCATCAACAGCCTCTCAGTCGGATCACCCCAGAACACCGTGGTCCGGATCACACAGGAGCCTGACCGTGGACCTGGGCCCCTTGGGCCCCTTGGCCCGAAGTCAACAGGTCTCGAAAATCGGTGGAATCGGTGATTTGATTCTTCCGTTCGAATGATGTGGTTCATAGATCATGTGGATGATTGTGAATTGTACGGTGTACGTAGTTTAGGGTCTAATGGTCGAAAATATGGTTGGATGATGATGATGATGATGATGATGATGATGATGATGATGATGATGATG